GGCTGGGCATAACGGCGCAGGCCTAAGTCGGTAACTCTGAACGATACTTTGTGAGTGGCCGACACTCCATGATGAAGAGGGCTTCCTTGGAGCGCTGTCACATTTGGTTGGATCGGTGCGGCATTGAGCCAAATTTCAAATATTGGAAGCTTTAAACATTGCCTTGCTCTACTAACAGTCAAGGCTGACCTGTCTTGTCAGTATATTTTTATTTCAGATTACCTCGAAGGTTAAGCATTAGAAAAATGTCAGATCTTAACATTCAAAATAAACACAACAATTATTAGAATTTCAGGCCGATTCTGCGTCGGATTTTACACTTTGGATTGCAGTCAAAGCACTTGCAAACACCCACATCATTATATATCTTCTCTCGGTTACGGTAATGGGTTTCGGTGCTGGCATCGTTTTCTCCTTCCTCTATTGGCACTTGCAGGTAAGCCACTCATTCAATTCTACTCAAAGCAACAACCCAAGATGAGGCCTTGTGGGTCAACTATCCTGTGAGCAGGATGCAGATTCTGATCAAAATTAGGAATTGCCCTTTTGCGTCTCAAAAGTGCGCGACAAGGTCGCTAGGGCCTTACAAAGTGAACAGACTGAACAAATGTGAGCAAATGAGCGAGATTCCCTGCTCTCACCTAAAACGTAATGGCTGATACAAATACGCTCGAGTAGTTGGTTTGCATGGTCGTTAGGTATATTCTCGGAATAGGAAGGGAATCGCTTTACCCTACAGCAACTGCTAGCATGGATGCCAGCAAGCTGAAAAACTAGTCCGAACAGCTCTCTTCTCGTCCCGAGGCAAAAGTGAGGGACTCATTGTTAAGGGCTCCATCGGCGATTTCGCCTTTTTCTCCTTCAGACAACCGTGCACCCCACCTTCATTCGAGTGCTTTACCCACAAACTTGGTCCTGGGTTGTTGCTTTACCTGTTCATATACGATCTGGTATTCTAAGGAAAAGCGAATTCAGGATCTTGGTGGTTCACCGGTGCTGTTCGGTATTCTCTCGGTTGTTAACCATGCTTCTGAAATAGTGGCATATTTCTTTACATTTCAAATCATAAACAAATTTGGCCATGTGAAGGTAAGTTTTTTTATGATGTTCTTATTGTATTTATTCATCTATTGCCTACCTCTTATTATTGAATACACAAAAGCACAATCAGTCAATCAAACAATCAAACATGCCAAGAATTAAAAGTTAAATGAAGTAAAGTTAAGAGGACAACTTGAGCTTGGAGAAAGACGTTTCACAAACTGCATAAAGTGAGAAGGGAAGGGTCGAAAAATATGGTATGATGCTACCAAGTTCGAACCCGTTATGCCTTGCAGCGCAAAATGGTTCCACCGTCTTAAGTCGACGATTGGCGTCCGTATATCGTCGATTTACCTTTCTCACCGATACCGCTGAACATGTACAGTATCACTCGGCTCCCATTCCACGCTAGCTGCCTTCCGCCCAACTTTTGGGGACGTTGATTCGAAACGAGTTCCATGAGAGCTCGACATGGGTACTCGACAAGAGGCCCGTCGCGCGGCAAGAAGGCAGAGTCAGCGGACGAGTCGCAGCGCGTGATGTGCGATGTAGGACGTGTGACATCTGTTTAACTTGACGCGAAATCACTACAGTACGCGCTGCGACTCGTCCGCTGACTCTGCCTTCTTGCCGCGCGACGGGCCTCCTGTCGGGTACCCGGTAGCACAGCTCGACCGCTCCGGTCCATGGCCTGCCCACAAATAGCGCTATACTTCTCCTCGTTAGCCATCTCTATTCATTTTTTGCCGCTCTCGGGGTCGTCTCAGAATCATTTTATTAATGTTCGAGGCAATCCGTCTACATCTGCCTTTCATCCAATAGTAGCATTCGAGCTCCCCTTTTCATAACCTATATCTTTTATCGATTTGTGTGGTCTCGGAAGAAGAATCTTCCAGACTTCGAGACGAGTTGTAGAAACTCTGCCCATATAGAGTACGCTCCGCCCATTGTGCGTAGTCCTCCACTCACATCAGGTTTGCCTGGTACAGATTGCACGCTGGCCTTCTATAGCAATTTTTTCTGATTCGTAGCTAAACCACCGTGCTGAGGTTTTTTCTATTAAGTCCTGTAAATTCACATAAGGCTTCGCTTATCATGGGGGACCTCCATAATTTGACCGGGCAACCCGGTGCACACCTCGATCTCTGTGCTGTTCTGGAACCCCACCTTAAAATTTTTGCCATTAGCTTTCCCTTTTGATGCGTGTCACACCCGTGGTAGTCGGGTCTTCAAAGAGCGGGTGATGTGCGCTTCGCACATCTCGGTCCTTGTCCAACTCACAGCAGACTTGTCCAGCCTCTTTATGCGATTCTTCAGCCGATGAGATTCGTGGAGACAAACAAGAAAACAGCCAACCTAACAATCACACAATCAAACGCAACACGACCCACAGAGAAACAAACACACCGAGCTGCTACTTTGCTCTTATTGTGGACATTGTGCGGTACTTCGAATATAGTAGGGGGCTTTCAAGGCACAACCCAGGCAGAAGTCGTGTGAACGCTTCCCTTCGGTCTGTAGGATAGACCCCAGGACAATCACAGATGTGGCATTCCCGTGCACGGAAATCACCGACAAGAGCGCTAGGGCCTTGCAAAGTAAGCTGCTGCAGCTGCAATTTTTCTTTATCAGGCTGTTGTCTGGCGCCCTCTCATCTGTTGCGCTCTCTCGCCTCATACTCTCCTCTCCGCGCTTAGTCTCTCATTCCCTTAGCACAGCCGATTGGTGAGTGAGCCCTTCAACCTGAGCGTTTTCGACGGATTCTTTTCCTTTTTTCTTTACTGCCGGCCCATTTCGCACCAATACATTCACATTCGTGTGCAAGAGCCACACCAGTGCGATCCTGGGGCATGCCTTTAAACAAGAACCTCCAGATCTTCTTGAGGGTTTAGGTAGATATATTGAGGA